GTACCTGCAAAATATGTGTATCAAGTATAGCATGAGTACGTAAATCAATGTGTACCCAGTAAGTATTACGTCTAACCTCAAAGAAGTAGTGACGAGGGGTCGACTGCAACACTTACTATGGGCTAACCATAAAATATTTATATTATAATTAAGCATGGATTGTATAAAGCAACTGAAAATTCAATAACAAGAAGTAAGTAAAGAATTCTTTTACTAATAAGAAATTTTCAAATTTATCTTCGTCATTTAAAAATTTATATCTCAAGCCAGTGAAGCAATATCAATTGTTATTAGTCCAAAGATTTATCATGCACAAGTTACGTCGAGGTTGTACAACCCGATCCAATAAACAAATATTAAAATTGTGCACTACTGAGGGTTGAACGTTACAAACCATAGATGCATCTATCTGCTATTGAGATGTTCGATCTGGTCCACAAAAGAGAAAATATATTAAAACAACTAATTCAAGATTTATTAAGGGGCTAATATTCAAAGAAATACCAATTCTCATCAACGGTCAAGTGACCCGTCCATGCAAGCACATGATTTTTGCCCGACTAAAAAAACTCCTACAAAAGTCACAAAAAATAGATTTTTCTATTTATTTTAATTTTTAGAGAATTTTTTTAAATTTCTTGCTAATGGTTGTGTGCATTTAGTTGCATTTTTAATATTTTAAAATTATAAGAAAATACCAAAAATTTCTAAAATATTCATTGCATAGCATTTTATGTCTTGATTGCATTTAGGATTTAATTATGTGAGTTAATTATATTATTAAACGAACATCACAAAAATGATGTTCATTTTTATATTTTTTAACTTTTAGTGTTAAATTAGTAATTTTCTTTCATTAGTTTAAGTTAATTAATTATGTAAATGGTAGAAATAGATAATTAGGTTTAATTCCACAAATTAGATTGTTTTAGAACTTAACTTAGGTTTTTAAATAATTTTAATAGGATTTAAAAAAATCAAGAAAAGATAAAATGAAAGAAAAGCTTTATTTGGTTCCGAAATGGGCCAAAGCCATATTCAGTGGCCCAATTTCCCTTTAAACCCATACCCAATCCATCCTAGGCCATCTAAAAGTTCGGTTCCTCCCCCCTCCACCAAAACGACGGCGTTTCGATGACGCTTAATCCCCACTGTTTATTATCTTAGATCTAACGGTCCATAACTCAACCCTCCCTCCCATAAACCTGTCCTACCCCCCCCCCCCCCTTCAAACCTAAAAACCCAACTGTAATGACCTAGTCGTTAGTTCTGAGAGTTATAGCCCTATTTCCCCCATGTATTCTTATTTATGTGTTGTTCAGCTGTGTTAAGTCGTATTGAGTTGGTAGGTTTGGGTTCGGAGTAGTTTTGGAGTGAAATGAACACTTACTCTCTTAGTTAGAAAGCTAAGTTAGAAAAGTCAATCGGAAGTTGACTTATGAGTAAACAAATTCGGATTTGGATTTATATGATTCGATTATCTTCGTTGGGTGATTTTAGAATTAGGAGTGTGTCCGGAATATAATTTAGAGGTCTGTGGTAGAATTAGGCTTGAATTGGCTAAAGTTGGAAGTTTTGAAGTTCTTAGGCTTAAATTTGAGGTTGATTTGGTGTTGTTTTGGGTGTTCCAGAGGTTCGACTAAGTTCGGGTAGTAAGATATGACTTTTTGGAATTATTGATTGAGGTTCCAAGGGCCTCGGGTGAGTTTCGGATAGGTTTGGGTTGTGTTGTGCTCGGTTTTTTTTATGTTTCGATGTTGTTTCTTCAAGCATAAATGATATAATATTGAACAAATGAGCTCCGATTTCTTTTTTGATTGAAGCATTAGATCCGTATTATAATTACGGACCTGTAGCAAAAAGAATTGTCTAATTTGGATATCGTATAAGGCTTTTATAGTCATTTTACTATGAATTAGGTTGCTAGATTTTTCATATTAATTACGTAATTGTCACTAACGGCGTATTTAAAAATCTGCACTATTTGCAAATATTAAAACCAACATATCTCATTCATTATAAGTTCAAATTGAGTGATTCAAAAGCCTAACTTGATTACAATTTCACATGAAATCCATTGGAAGTATAAAAAGCAAGTTTCATGATCATTTAGCATGAGAAGCAAGGCAGAATAGATGGCAGAAAAATATATAAAACAGGGGTTTATTCATTCAGTCAAATTTTGAGTTGGGGAGCTTGGATTTGGGCGGTTTTGGAGGCTATTTTCACTATATGGATTGGGATAAGTGTTTTCTTCTCAGTTTTGGTTATATTTCATGAATCTATCTTTGTTTTTGAGATTTGATTGATGATTTAAAAGTGAAATTTAGGGAGTAAGGGCTTGAGGTTTGGAGAGTTTTAGGTAGGGATTTGAGGGACCAAACGGAGTCCGATTTTGATAACTTTTATATGGTTAGACTCGGGAGAGGAAAATATTTATTATTCTACCATTTTTGACTAGTTTCGAGACATGGGCCCAGGGGCCAGGTTTTGGCCGATTTCGGATTTTTGGCCTATTTATGTAGTTTTTCTGTTGAAATTCAATTCTTTAGCCTATGTTGATAGTAGTATTTTGATTTTGGTTAGATTCAGAGCTTTTGGAGACTGAGTCCAGAGATGAGGTCATTCCGGAGTAGGGTTTTACGCGGTTAAGGTAAGTAATAGTTTTAACTCTAGCTTTAAGGGTATAAACACGGAGAATTTGATGTCACGTGACTGTGCGGAGGTGATACCCACACTAGGTGATGGGCTTGTGCGTGTATACCTCGAGGGATTGAGACTTCGTCCGTCCCGTGAGGTTATGAGGCCTAATAACCATTATCTATGTTTATGCATTTACTTGTTGGTGAACTTGTCTGCCTTCACGTTAGAGATCATGATTAGGCTTCATTCATACTCACAATATTTGTACTCAGTCATAGAAATTATTGTACATGTTTACCTCAGTCTCTATTATTTTGTTGATATGTTGTGATACTTGATATGGGTTGTGTCCCCTGATTGGTAGTGCATTGTGAGGCTGGAGAGGTACATGACTGAGTGAGGCTAATGGTCTGGTTGTGATTATATTAATACCATAGTGTGTGAGCTGTCTGCGTAGCACGTGAGCTGACCTTGCGGGTCTGGGTATTGATACCATAGTGCGTGAGCTATCCGTGTAGCACGTGAGCTGACTGTGTGAATCCAAGTATTGTTATTATGGCATGTGAGTTGTCCATGCTTAGCGCTTGGGCTTTGGGAGCCCCTCGAGAGTTTGTACACACCCTAGTGAGCACAGATTGTTGAGTGTATTGAGTGTTTAGTGTTGAGAGCAAGTGCTGAGTGATGCAGTGACATTGCTGTGAGGTTGTATTTATTTGTGTTGTTGCTGTATTTATCTGTTAAATTTTTTTGTGGCATTTACTGAGTTATGGAATTTACCTGCTTATTTCTGTTATTTTAAAATTTTGAAAATAAATAATTTGACTATTTTACTTAGCTCGTCATTACTGCTCAGATCCTTAGTTATTTCTGTTACTACTGAGTCGGTTGTACTCATACTACACCCTGTACTTTATGTGCAGGTCTACGTGAGTTAGAGCGCAGCGATCGTTGAGTTCAAGCCAGCTATCTATAGAGATTGCAAGGTAGCTGTCAGTGTCCGTAGGACCTTGTTACTCCTCTAGTCATTTCTTCTTTTGGACAATTAGATAGTTTTTATATCTTAGATTATAGTTTTTGACGCTCATGACTTAGTGACACCACGACGTTTAGGAGTCGTTTCCGTATTTCATATTATTTATATTTAGAGTTGATTTAGTTTATGAGAAATTTAAATGTTAAAATATTTTATTAAATTCTTATAATCAATTTAGTAGCAATATTTTCGGAAATAGGCTTGCCTTGTAACACGATAGGCGTCATCACAACATGGTTAGATTTTGGGTCGTGACACAAGCCCAGATCCCTCTCGTCTCCCTCTCCCACCCTCAACCTTAGACCGCCGCCAAAAATCACCTACGACGGCGGCACTACCCCAAAAGCCCCCAAATTAATACCCTACAATCTCTATGCCACCCTCATACCCAATCCCTCACCAATTTCCCCAGAAAACCACCCAAGTTGCGTGAATTTCAGATCTCAGAATCTCAAAACCCTAATTTAAGCTTTTGCTGTTTTTCCTCATTAATGCAGGCCGATTTGGTTTCAAAGTCACATAAATAGATTGCTTTGACATGAGCAATCGATATATGTTAGTTAATTCATGTCTGGGCCATCCACGGAAGCTCCATAATGTCGACTTCTTTTGCCGACTCTTGGCCGGATGTCTTCTTTTGGGCCAGTCTTGTTGTCAAGGGGTACTCCTTCTTTTTGTTTCTTTGATTACTGCTTATTTTAGGTTCATAGATTGACATTTTGTGTTACATGTTAGAGATTAGGTTTATTTCAAAATTAACAGCATGTTTTAGTATTTGCTTCAACTTTTGTTAAAATAAATCCATTAATAGTTATTCTAAGGGTGTATCAATATGTTGATTGTTAGTATGCTTTCTCATATGTCTAGCATGCTGTAGATTAGTTAAGATTTTAAATTCATCAATTCTGTGATTAGGCCAATGTTTTAAAAGCATAGTAATCAGTTTTAATTTGTTTAAAGTTACTTTAATTAGTTAATTACATGTTGAATTAGTTTAATTACCTAAAATAGGTTTAAAGGTGAATATAGTTTGTTGTGCTATGATTTTTAATTCATTTGAGTTTTTGTGATAGCTGTTTGTACTTACTGAAATTCAGGGGTCTAAAAGAAATAGAAAAACGAAGGAATCTGTTTTGTTTGGTTGGAAATACATTACAATGGGGAATAAGTTTAAAGCTTGGGGTAAAAATTGAATTTAAAAAGTTTAAAAACTTCTGGGAATAAAAGAAGCTTCTAGAAAAAGGGACAGTTGGCCCAATTTGTTGAAAAAAGAGCTGAGAGTGAGAGGAAATATCCAGAAATTGGACAGATATCAATTGTTTTGTTAAGAAAGATGACATTTTCCCTAAACTTTAGGGGCTGGCAGATTCCTTTTAATTCTTTCTCATTCCCTATCATGGGCACATGCTCACATTCTATAAAAATGGGATTCCTCCTCTCATTCTCATAGGGGATTTTGATACAAAAAATCTCTATGAAAATAAGGTTTCTTTAATTCACCCTGATTTCTTTTTGAAAACAAGAATATGAGGCTCAAAAATAGATAGAAAAAAAGCTACAAACGTTGTTTGGCTCTTCCATTTTTACTGGTTTTTGCATCACTTTCTTCGTGGGATTTCGAATTGCTTTCAAGCTGTGGAGTTGTTTGTTTGTTTGTGAGCTTATTGTTGTTTTGCTGGCTAGATCTTCACTTTCCATCTCTGAAATTTATTTATCAAGTTCATCAGTTGATTTTGCTTCTAAGCATGTGAAACTCTTTCTGTAATGCTATTTGAATTTGCTAATGAAGAGTCGAATGATTTGCTGTGTTTACATCTGATTTCGTGTGTTGTTGTTCAATAGTTAGGCTGATCTACCTTTGATTGAGCTATTATAACGTGCTATTCAAATGATAGTTTTAGTTTCATAATGAATTTGATCTTTAGTTTGCTTATGCAATTCCTGATATTAGGAGTCAACTGATGTTTAAAGCATGAATTCTAAAAATCGATTGAGCTCATATGGTTCTAGAATTAATTCTGGTGTTTTGTGTGATTTAATGATAACAACTTTATACTTATGATTATGAATTAAAGTCAGCTCGAGAAGAAAGGGTACAATTGAATAGGTGATAAAGATAAAGTCTCATTGATGGAATGTGAACAATAGCTATAAAATAGGCGATATTTGTAAATTTAATCCTTGATTTAGCCGTACATATTCTGATTCAAGTTCATTGTGCCTAATTTGAATATTTAACTATGTATTGTTATTTTCCAGAACCTATTCCATCAGGGGAGTTACGTGATGTGGGTTGAACTTGCAAATTAGCCTAGCTGGGATTTGGTTAAGCAAGTCCGGACCCCAGGTCACTGGGTTTGGGTATTAATCCCAATGCTTTAGGCCTGGAGCCGCTAGAGTGATGATTAGCTATTATATTCATTTCAGTTTCTTGTGATAGTTTAATCAATATGCTTCTTTTCAATTTGTCAAAGTGTTTGGTTCAAACAAGTAGTTTCTCAATATATGCTTCATTCACGATTATCCAATATAAATCTAAACGTTGAAACCCCTCTCGACACATAAAGTTCCTTGGCAGAATAAAATGATTAAGCCTTTACCTCAACAACTCTCTTCCATAACTCGTTGCCTCACAATAATATCAAACGTAGGAGACGAACAACATATGAACATCGTGGCTTGCTTTAGGCACGAATAAATAAATCTCGTGACTATAGGTACCCATGGCATAGTTGTGATACATAAATCTAAATTCAAGTGTGTGTTTCACATGACTTGACCACAACGTCAAACAATAATAAAAGTATGTTGTGGATCTCAGGTGAGTTTCACGTGATGCGATTCGCAATGTGTACAAAAATAAACGAATGTGCGACATCGCTACTCGTTCAAATAAATTCCATAAATCCTAAAGGCAGATAAAATTCTATTAAAAGTGGTTAGAAGATAAAAATACACCATAGGTTCTAAATATAGAATTAATCAGTTAATTAGGCAAATTATTAATAGTTGTGTGACCGTGCTAAAACCATAGAACTCGAAAGTTCCTTACACCTTCTCCCGGGTTAATAAAATTCCTTACCCGATTTTCTGTGTTTCACGGATTGTAAAACAGAGCAAAATTTCCTCGATTTGGGATTCTAAAATAAATCTGTGACTTGGAACACCATAAATTATTTCAAGTGGCGACTGTGAATGAAAAAATAATCCCATTTCGATTAATGTCACTTTAATTGAAAAAACACCCTATCCCTCGAAAAAAGGAGGTGTGAAAGCTCTGGCAACTCTACTGGAGAAAAGTACCCAGAACTACTTGTTCACGGTTCAGAATTTGAGCTTAGAATAACTGTTATACTTGGATTTTATTTATTATCTCATTTTTACATGTTTAAATTAATGTGCTAAATGCCACTTTTTACCGCTTTGATATTGATTAAACTGCATATAAACTGTTATGAAACCCTCTTTTCTTTGAGTCTTCTAAATCTACTGGGAAGCGTGCACTTCGCTTGGCTTCTTTTCTGTTAGAGTCATATCCTAATTTTAGAACGAGGTCGGACAAGTTGCAAAGCCGGTGAAGCTTCTGCATTCCCGGTACACTACCCTTCCCCCTT